TTGCGCCGTGCGCCTTTCCCTCCCTCCAGGGCAGCTTATTGACGTCGGGGTCATGTGATGTTCGTCTGCAAACCGCACTGACATCGGTTATATGTGATTCGGTGCAGACCGAAGCCGTAAAAACGGGGATGAATGACAGATCATGTGGCGCCTCATTGCTGCAAAGTTTTCCACGATTAGCAGCGAACCAAGAAGCCTCAATCACAACGTCAAAAAAATCAGACGCTTCACATTTATTTACCCTCTCAAGAGTCAATGTGCTAACTTGGAGTAGGTCGTCCGGTACAAATATTTTCAGTGGATATAAATATTTGAGCTGAAATCCCTAAATTACAGCGGCATAACCACGTTATATTCGTAAGCACTTACTGCAAGTTAGCATATTAATTTCTGAAGAAATTAAACAGCTGAAGTCTTAAAATCGGAATATTCACCAGAAAACAGAAGAGGAACGTGGGGGAGGGGTCAATAATGAGCTGACCCCCTCTCCGTAGTTGCGTCATGCATTGAAAGAGGATTGACCAGAAAAGTGTCTGGGCTTTTGGCCGGTACCTGCTCTGTCAGTATGGTGAATCAGGCAAATATCAGACAGTCCCTTTTGCCAAACATAATGAGAGCGTTTTGAAAGATTGTTACTGACAGTCAGAAGTAGGACGTTTACTGACTCATTCTCACTTCGGAACCTGCAAGGGAACTTCTGCTTCGTCTTGCGGCTCCAGATGCGGATCCGTTCGGGCTGTCATGTAGTGATGAACGCTTTATCATTGAGACGTCATATCGACAAAAGTTACGAGCAGTCAACCGTACTCAACTCCACCTGGTAGCAAACTGAGGGCTTGGCCGTGGGTATGGTGAGGCTTGAGCATTAAAGTCATCCACTCGAACAACAAAGGCTTGCTCTCAATGGCCCTTTGGACCGGTTGCAGAACGTGCGTGCGTCAGCACCTGCGTTTAAAGTATAACTAACTACTGATGACGACCAGACGCCTCAGTGTCCCTATTTGTGGTCGGTAGCTCCTCCAGATTCCGAAGACCACGGCGGAACTTATTATTACTCGTTTCTTTTCGAAGGACAGAGACAAAATTTCACTTTGTGTGAAAAGTCACCGAGAATTCACTGATATAAAATATTTAACACCTTGCACTCAGAAGAC